TGTAGCTAACCTCACACTGCCCACAGGTGGAGGAGCATGCACTTGTATGTGTGAGAGTAGGTGTATGTGTTCATATTCACATGTGTTTGTGGGAAATTTCTCAGCAAATATTATTATGGATAATATGGAGCACACTATTTTGAATGTATTCAAGGAAAATTTTAATAGCATCTTGTATACATGGGTACTAAAAATACCTTTAAAGTAACTTTTATTGTGTCTTGGTACCTATTTTATTTTACCCACTGCATAAGAGCATTCTGAAATTTAATTTTAAACATAAAAAATAGAGTGAAATGACGGAGGTGTTGGGAAAGTTTCTGCTTCTGTTGTTTTGTTTGTTTGTTTTGTTTTGGTGTTTTTACTTTGTTGAGGGGATCTCATGGCAGCTCTGGCTGGCCTCAGACTGGTATGTAGCTGATGCTTGCCTTGTCTGTGGTTCTCCAGCCCCCACGTCCCATGTGTTGGGATTACAGGCCTGGGTCATTACGCCCAGGGGAACTCACCTCCTTTGACTTCTGTTTTTGTCTGTGTTATCAGTTTTGTCTTCTTCGTTTTCTTTTTTAGGACCCTCTGTTGTTCGGTACCACCTACCCAAGATGTTGCTGTTGTGGCGAAACGTGTTCCCCCGTTCCTTAAAGGAGCTGGAGGCTGAGAAGGCCCGGGGAGACTCTTTCACCTGGCAGGTGACACTGGAGGGCCGTGCCGGGGCTTTGTGTGGTAAGAACTGAAGCATCACACTCTCAGAGTGCTCCCACATTACTATTTAGGGCTGCTTTTGTCACCAAGATGTTTGTAGGTGATGAAATTCACATTTACATTTTTACTTTTATATCTGTTGTTGGGTGTGTGGACGCTTAGATTTCAGAGACTTTATAAAAAAAACTCCAGTTTGCTCTTAAAGCAAACTATCATCACAATAGTAGCTGGAAATGGAGCCAGGACCCGGAGGTGTAGTGACAGTGTCAGTCGGGAGCTGGGACCCGTGCTCCTTTGCCCTCAGTAGTCGCATTCACTTCTCTTGGTGTTGGAGCACTGCTTCCCACATCAGATGCCAGCACAGAAGCGGGCGCCCATCTGCTGCCGGGGCTACCTTTCCTTGCATTATGAAAACACTTCCAGATGTTGCTGCTTGTTCAGACATCAGCACTCCAGAAAGGCGATACAGTGAGAGCATCTGGGGGTCAGCATGTCCAGGAAAAGCTCAGATGTTGTTCATTTGGGACTAGAATTGCAGTGGGCCTCTCTCCTGCTTGGCTTTTTCCTGGCATAAAAAAAATGCTTCCTTCCCCACAGTTGGGAGACTCTTCCGGGTCAGGTGGCCAGGTGGGGGCGCCAGTGTGCCTCTGTAGGTCTGAGGCATGCTTGGGCGTAGCTATTTTGCCAAAGGATAAGGAAAGAAATCCTTTCTCTGTGGGCCATCTGTTTACTCCTGTCCAGCTTTCTTTGTAGTCATCTGAATTCCTACTCAAAGTCTCCCTAACATAGTTTCCTCCCTCCATTTCTAGTTTCCATTTTTTTCTGGTAGTTTTTGTTTCTGTTGTTTCTGCTTTTTCTTTTAGTTTGACATGACTTTTCAACCTTCTATTTTATAGTAATTGAGAACTATAGATGTCTTGTTTTGTTTTTTTGAGACAGGGTTTCTCTATGTAGCGTTGGCTGTCCTGGAACTCACTATGTAGACTGGGCTGACCTTGAACTCACAGAGACCCACCTGTCTGCCTCCCGAGTGCTGGGATTAAAGGTGTGCGCCGCCACCACCCAACTAGAGAACTGTAGATGTCTTTACCATTCTATAATGTTTAAAACCTCTCAATCTTTCAAAATTTTTTCTTTAGCCATGAGGAGTTTTGTTGCACATTGTCCTGAGCTCTTAACTGAGGATGCAATTAGGAAATTAATGACTCCTATTGAATGTGCCATGACCATGATGTCTCAGTAAGTAAACAGTTTGGATCAAGTTAACATCTTGCATGTGTTTGTGGTGTGTGCTTATATGTATGTGTGTTCACATATACATATGTGTGGCAGCCAGAGGTTGATATAGGATGCCTCCCTCAGTTACTTTTCAGCATATATATTGAGGCCAGGACTCTCTCTTGAACCCAGGGCTCACCAATACTGTTAGTCTTGTTAGCCAGCTTGCTGTGAGGGTCCTCTGTGTCTGCCTCCCAAGCTCTGGCATTTCAGTTGGGCCACCACGCTCACTGAGCATGTAAGCGTATACTGAATCATTCAAGATCTGATCCTCACAGACACCTTGTTTTATATGTTAATCAATAAAAATGTAGTTAGCATTTTTTTACTTCTCAGTTTATATAGAAAGCATCTAAACTTTGTTTTGTGAAGTGAATTTAAAAGTTGTATTAATGGTGTGGTTTAAAATGCAACGTATTCTGAAGTGTTTCTGTTGGCTTTATTATTGATCACAAAACAAACTGAAAACAGATTAGCTTATCAGTGTACTTTGGGAGTACTTCAGTGCATTGCTAAATGACCTTGTTAATTGTCTATAAGAAATGCTTATTGTAACAGCTAACTGACCCTAATTTCACTTTCAATATCGTAGCATTCCATCTGTAATTAAGGCCCATGGAGCCCATCTGAAAGCTAGTGCCGCAATGGTCCGATTAAGACTTTACGATATCTTGGCTTTATTACCTCCAAAAACTTACGAAGGTAAATAGAATGTGTAGAATCTGGTCAAGATTCTTCATTGTGTCTCTCAGTTCTTCATAGGGTTAGGGTTCTAACCAGGGCTCCCCCTCAAACTTGCTTTGCAAAAGAAGGCCACCGTTTTGCTTTTCTTCACCTAAAGGCATTTGTATTTGTTGTGTTTTATCATAGTCTGGCTACCATTCCAAGCTCCTGCTGTGATGCTGACCCAACTTAAGAGGTCAAACACCTGTTCTGTAAATCAAGAGTCTTAGCAAAAGACGTTTGCCTGCTGGTTACCTGGAAAGTGGTGGTTTCCATTCAGACCCAGATGATTTGCCCTCAGAGTCTATATTTTAATTACCTTCCCCAGTTACTCCATGCACATTGTAACACAGTCAATAGTCTAGGTGTCCTTGAAGGGAGGATAATAGTTTACTTGACAGAAATGAAATATATAAAGTAATATCAAACCACTAATTTCTCTCTAATACAACTAAGCCCACAAGCTTTGGTGGGTACTATTCAGTGTTTGCATGTACTGGACAGTTAATAAATAATGTCATATAGCATATAATGTGTTTAAAATAAAGGCTTTTAGTTTGGACTTAAACTGCACTATATCAGAATAAAAAGGAAAATTCATTGTTATATATGAAAACTAATATATGTCAGGCCTAATGGTGTAAGCCTGTAATTTTAGCTACTTGAGAGGCTGAGACACTAGGATCATAAGTTTAAGACCTGTTTGGTCACGGCATGAGTTTAAGGCTAACTTTAGTGGTACACTGTCCTTAAAATTATTTAAAAATAAGGAACTGGGAGATCTTACCTAGTGGAAGAACACTTACCTAACAGCTATGAAGCCCTAGACTCTTCAGAACTGTTGAGGGGAAAATCCGTATTAAAATATTTTGAGTGAGAATTGTATTGTGGCATGTAGCTGTGGTCTCAGTTGCTTGTGTGACTGAAGTAGGGGTTGTCTTGAGCTCAGGATGTCAAGGCCTGTCTGGGAAGTTGTAGTGAGAGCCTGTTTTGGTGGGAATGATGGGGGGGGGAGGGGAGAGAATCTAGAAAGAAAAGAGGGAGAGAAGAAAGGGAAAGAAGAAATTGTATGGCTGGTTCACAAAGGGATGGAAATTGACTTTATTCCTGTTAGACACAGTGCTGATCTTTGTGGACATGAAATTACTGTTTTGGTCTGTTCTGTTACTCTGTGTCTTAGGGTCCTTCAATGCTCTTCTCAGAGAGCTGGTAGCAGAGTTCACTCTGACTGACAACTCAGCCAACACAACCACCTCCCTCCTTCGGTCCCTCTGCCATTATGATGACAGTGTTCTTCTGGGCTCCTGGCTTCAAGAGACTGATCATAAGTCAATCGAAGACCAGGTAGTAAAACACACAAGGAAATGAAATTACTAGAGTAGTCTAAAACAGTGGGCCTCTGACCTTTGTCATTGAAAAAGAAGCTACTCTGGGCCACAGTAGCGTTCATTTGCTTTCTTCTCTACTTATTAGCATCTTAAAGGTGGATAAATGGTGAAAAGGGCAATAGTAGTATAAAATTTGGCAAAACGTCTTCTTTCAGTACCCTTTGTATTTAGTTACTCAGTTGTGTCCACGGCAAAACTCAGATTTAACTGGCTTTTTGGTTGCTAGTGTTTTGTTTTATTTAGTTTTGTAACAGATTAGGAAGAAATGAGAGTTAATAAATTGGATATTTAGAATCAAATAAACTGTTTTTATACAAAAAAATTTAACTAGGCATGGTAGCACAAGCCCTCCATCCCAGTCTTTCAGAGCTGGAGGCTGAGACAGAGAAGAAGGTAAATTCAGGTGTGTTTCTTGTCTGGGTTACATAGTGAGAAGCTGTCTTCAAAACAAAAACAAAAACAAATCTGCTTAAGTCATTTTTGTGGGTTTTGTTACAATGGATACAATTTTGCTTGACCGTTAAAGTGTTTGAAATGAACATGACTTTTCTTATGACTCCAGAAGATGCTGATAATGACGTTATTTAATGACAAAACTATATTTTAATCTGCTTAAAGCTGTTGGGCCTGGTCAGGTTTTACCCTGCGCTGCTCTGTCTGCTGTCCGGTTCTTGGTGAGTGGCTTTCCTAAAGGAGCTCTGGTTACCTTCATGCTCTCCTCTCGCAGCTCCAGCCCAACAGTGCGTCTGGAAGCGGGGCCCTGGAGCACGACCCTTCTTCCATTTACCTACGGATCCCTGCTGGGGAAGCCGTGCCTGGTCCTCTCCCTCTCGGAGTCTCGGTGATTGATGCCTCCGTGGCTCTTTTTGGCGTTGTGTTTCCACACGTTTCTTATAAACACAGGTTAGTGTAAAGTTAGCTGGGCGATTTTACTCAAATATAAATTACATTTAAGAATAGATTTTTTTCCATCCCAGCTAATTCCACAATAACATAGGTTTTACTTAAGCAGTGCTCTCATGAGTTTAATGGCATAATTTATATGTACATGATAAAATAAATTGACTGCAAATTCCCTGTAACTTGAAACTTAAGATTTAGCTCTGGGTGGTGCGATCTACTTCCTTTCTCGCTCCCTGCATCTTGGCGGCTGCTCTTGCTTGGGGGCTGTCCCACACCTGAGGCAGGAAGATGGTGGCCGTAAAGATTAAAAAGTCCCTGGAGTCGATCAACTCCAGGCTCCAGCTCGTGATGAAAAGTGGCAAGTACATGCTTGGGTACAAGCAGGCTCTTAAGACAGTCAGACAGGGCAAAGCCAAGCTGGTCATCCTCACCAACACCTGCCCGGCCTTGAGGAAATCTGAGATAGAACACTATGCCATGGTGGCTAATACCGGTGTCCATCACTGGTGGCAATAACATTGAATTGGGCACACGTGTGGACAATACTACAGAGCGTGCACACTGGCTGTCATTGGCCCAGGTGACTCTGATGTTATTAGAGGCATGCCAGAACAGACTGGTGAAAAGTAGTAAACCAGAAAAGCCTGCCTTTACTAAAGCACTCAAGCTCTCTTAAAAAAAGAGATTTAGCTCTGTGTACTTGCATCTAGTACCTACTGTTTTATGGAGCATGTCTTACCCGACAGAGTTTTCATCTCAGTAGTTTGACAGTTTCTGAATTAAACTATGTCTCTAATTAGAGCTGTTTTCTTGATTGTTCTGCTACTGAACACGTACATGTGTGAGAAGTCTACTCTATTGAATGGGTCGGTGAGATGCTCAAGCCTGGGTCACAGGGACCCAGCATAGCTGTCCTTTCTGGTAACAGGGGACTTTGGCCTGCTGTGTTCTGCATCCACAGTCACTACCCCTGACTCTAGAAGCAGTTTATATATTTGTCATTTCCCAGAAGGGAAAACTGAATCAATGTAAGACCTTCCATATTCCTTGACTTTTACAAAACATGCCTTACGATATTATTGTTTACATCCAAAAGATAACTATATTTTTAAACATGTAGGTTATTTGATGAATTGCTTTTAATTATTGGCTTTTCATATTCAAGCTTGATTTAAGTACAACTGATTACCACATCAATGTTAAACAACACTAAAGCTGGAAACCTTTAAATTATATCTACTTAACAACCTTGCTTCAAATCTAAGCATATCCAAGCCCTAGACCTGTGGCTTTGGCAAAGTTGCATAGCTAGTTGTGAAATTCACTTTTAATTAGTTTTGTGTGTGTGTGTGTGTGTACTTTTTGTTGTTGTTGCTTGTTTGTTTTGTTTTTTCTGTATTTACAAAATTGCCCAAAGCTAAACCTTTCTTGAGGTCTTTCAGTAGCTTCTGATAGGACAGGATATGGGGTAAAATTTTCTTCTATTTATGTATGCATGCTCTTCCTGCATGCCGGTATGTGTGCCATGTGAGTCACCGGTGCCAAAGTACACCAGAAAAGGGCTTTGGATCCCCTGTAACTAGAGTCTTAGATGGTGTGAGCCACTATGTGGGTGCTGGAAACTGCATTCTCTGCAAGAGCAACAAGTGCTCTTAACTGCTAAGCCGTCTTCCAACCCCTGAGTAAGATTTTTTAAGATAAAGCAACAACATAAACAGAACCTTGACTACATGGAGTTTAAGGTTAGCATATGCTTTATAGAGAGACCCCATATCAACATAATAAAGAAGAAAAGAAAAAATTCTTCAAGGGCTGAAGAGATGGCTCTGCAGGTACAGAGGCTTGCTGCCATGACAGCCTGAGTCTGGTCCTTGGCCTGTCGCCGTTGGAGAGAGTTGACTCCCACAGATAGGCCTCTGATTTGCACATGCTCACCTGGCACATAAGCATCCACACATCTACACAAGATAAATACAAAGAGTTCTAAAATTATGCCACTCTTTTCTTTCTAATTCAAAATTATCTGCAGAAACAATTATTCTTCTGTTCTGTTAAAAATACTTTGAGGAGAACAGGTGAAGTGACATATGTCTGTGACACTCAGGTCCTCAGGAGGCTGAAGCAGCAGGAGGGAGAGTCAAGGGTAACCTGAGCAGCATAGGAAGAAATTGTCAACACACTGCTCACTGCATGTCTAGAGAGCAATGTGAGAGAGAAGGGAGGAGCCAGTACACTGATGGCCTCCCTAGCAGCACAACTCTGAGGACCCAGTCTTTCCCACATAGGGGCCGGGGGACATTCACAGTGCCAATGTCACTCTAAGTCAGAATAAACGTTACTATAAATCAGAAGTTTTGTTGGACACTGGTGAAAATGTTTTAAGACCTCTGAAATTATGACTATTAGTGTGCTAATTGAAATTAATATTAAGTTTCCTTTCTTGTTCTTGTTAATTGACTACGTGAGTATATATATTATGCAGGAGGTAAAAGTCGGTTTTCAATCAGCTATGGGAATGAAATGGACACAGTCAGGGGACATAACTGATAAATAATTAGTTTATAATCTTATCTCTGTTTTTGAGCCATAATTAAATTAAAAACCACTAATGTGATCTTATCCTATTACTATAGGTTACAAATGCTGGATCACTTTGCTGAATGTGTTAAGCAAGCCAAGGGTGTCCGCCAGCAGGCTGTGCAGCTGAATATATTTACCGCCGTTCTTAGTGCCCTGAAGGTAGACTCCCAGAATAGCACAAATGTTCTAAAGATGTTACTGTGTTTGTAAAAGCCAGGCATAGCAAGATTGTTATAGTGCTTATTTTTCTATGTGTATGCGTTTGATAATGGTGATTTCATGTTAATGTGATACATATACTAGAAACTATATGGAGTTTATTTTAATTAAATCAGTATTTTCTATTTTAGTAATTTAAAGGTTCTCATTTCAGTTTGAGCCTCAGATTTTACAAGCACCAATAATTTTCTTTTGGGATTTCCTGAGATGTCTGTTTAATGAGAACTGCTCTTCTAATGAAGATTTATGAGATAAACCTTAATTTCCACTGTGATTTAAACTGAGTCAGCAGAGGATGTGTTCCATAAAGGAGAGAATGCTGTCTGTAGGGAGTTTTCTGGATTAACTACTTAACTGGCTTTATTCTCAGCACATAGTATCCAGGCTTTCGTGGGTTACTTAAAAACCTTTATATATTATTTAGTCCTGGGGTTATTATAGAATGGTGCTGTAATAATAAAATTTAGCATAGCAAAACTACAGGTGATTAAATAAGGGTTCCTTAAGTCATGCTTTGCAAGCGTGGTGTTGGGGAAGAAAGCAAGCATTGGTTAGAGAAATAACTTTGGGGTTATTTGTGTAGCCATTGGTATATGCCCTAAGTCGAGACTGACACTGGCATCTGAGTATTAACAAAGGCAGTGAGGTGGCCATGGCTCTTAGCGCTTGGAAGAATAGTAGGTTCAGCATCGCAGTGGAGATTGCACTTTTCTAAGAAGACATGGCTGATGCCTCTGCTCTAGTTAGCACTTTCTGCTGGCTCCATTGCTTACGCTTTTCATCTCAGGCAAGACAAGTAGATTCCAAAGCAGCAGGTACAGCTGGAACAGAAAGTAACTTAGGTCAGCATTCAGTTACTGCCACCCATCTGTCTTTACATATGTATTGATTGAACACTTTAGACATAGTTGTGAGGTTCTTTGTTTTATTCGTTTATTTATTTATTTATTTTTTTGTGGCACCGATGATTGAATCCAGGGCCTAATATGTGCTAGGCACATATCACTGAGCTATCTCCAGCCCATTTTCAAATTTTTATTTGACGGTGGGGTCTTGCTAGTTGGCCAGACCAGTCTTGAGGTTGCTGTGTAGACAGAGACAGACAGACCTTTAACTTGCAATCCCCCTGCTTCATCCTCCCAAGTAGCCAGGACCACAACTTGGAGCCACATAGTGTTTTTTTTCCCCACTCCACATGTTGTTTATTGAATTTTTATGCAAAAAAATCAGTTTCATATTCATTACAATAGTACATTTAGTCAGATGACTAATGCTCCATTTAACTTTACAGTGTCCTTTATGCCCAAATGAATATTGAGTATTAGCCCTTAGGTAGAAATTTTTTTTTTTTTTTTTTTTTTTTTTTTGGTTTTTCGAGACAGGGTTTCTCTGTGGCTTTGGAAGGTAGCTTCTGCCATGGATTGTGTTTCTAGGGCCAGTGGGACTACTGACTATTAATTACTGTGTTCTGAAGTCACACCTAGGGAGTGTTCACAGTCCATCTAGCAGGTATCAGCCCAGGTGTAGCATGTATAATGTGTGAAGACATCTGAATTTCCTAAGATTGCAGCATATCTTTTTCCTCATTGAACATGAATTATGAATTGATATCATTATTCTTTTAAAAACAAATCAACATAGGGTTTAGCTGAAAACAAGAGTACCTTAGGACCTGAGGAAGTTCGTAAATCTGCTCTGACACTGGTTATGGGAGCTCTTGACAACCCAAACCCCATCTTACGGTGTGCAGCCGGGGAAGCCCTTGGAAGGATGGCTCAAGTGGTGGGAGAGGCATCTTTTATTGCTCGAATGGCCCAGTACAGCTTCGACAAGTAAGTGTTTCTCCTGAAAAGTGTCTCAACCAGTCTAAGATGTCTTTTAAGTGGTCAGAAATAGTTACCTAGACTATGTGTTTTCTCCATGGGTTACAGCATGTGACAATTTTATAATCTTAATTTTTAATTCAGTAATTTATGGACCTCTTGATTCTGGGAGAGATGTAACATGTTAAGAACGTTTGAGGAGGACCTGGTTTCTCATCTGCCTTTTGGAATCAAGAACGTCAGTCAAGACTTCCCCATCACGGCACCCTCAGCCATACTCTGCTCTTTCTGCCTCACTTTACCCGTTTGCTCTTTCTCTTCCCGGTATAAGACCTCACGTAGAGGAGAAAAGAAAGTTACACTTTAGGTTTTAAGGATTATTGTGCATGTTAACCATGAGGCGTAACCTCAAAGATCCAAACAAGCATGACTGAGATGAGAAATGTGGTTTTCAGTATTGTTCTGTGGGTGCTTAAATGGAGAAGTTAAAAATCAGAAGGCCATGAAATAACACGAGTCATATAAATTATCCTTCTTAACTCACGTATTTTCAACAATTAAATGTATTAATCCATATCATAATCATTAACAAGAAAGAAAGAATTAAAAGTAGTTTCTGAACTCTTACATTTTGAGAATAGCTTTCCTTGTTTTCACATATGAATGGCAGCCTGGTTGGCTATGGGATAATGCCTCAGGTGCCATGACAAAAATCCCTGACAGCAGTTTAAGAAAGGATGATGTGTTATGGCTCACAGTCCCTCCTCCAGGAAGGGGGGGTAGTAGGAGCGTGAGAGCAGGTTCCGCTGTATCCATAATTAGGAAACAGAGTTTTTGGTCCCAGCATAGTTGCTTTGGTTACTGAACAGCTGATCTATGTCTCCACCAAACTGATGAATACTGTTAAGTATATATTTTACATCAGATTTTAAGACTTAGTTTGGACCAGGCTTTTGTGGTACATGCCTTTAATCCCAGCACTTAGGAGGCAGAGACAGGCGGATCTCTGTGAGTTCGAGACCACCCTGGTCTACCGAGTGAGTTCCAGAGCAGGCTCCAAAACAATACAGAGAAACCCTGTCACGAAAAACCAAAAATAAAATAAAATTTAAAAACCCTTTTCTTTAAAAAAAAAGACTTAGTTTGAAAAACAGTGTATCTCAGTAATTTATTAATCACATCATGATATTTTAATATTTTACTGGTACCTCGTTAAAATTAATTTCTGTTATCTTTCTCTTCTGTTTTGGGACAAGTATATTAGAAGTTATGTGTGTGCTGTATTTCAATTGAACATTTCTGTTCAGTGTTGTTTATGTGATGGTTACATTCAGTGTCCAATTATCATTATGTACTTGACACTTTAAATTGGTGAGTTTTAAACCCAGGTGTGATGACTTATACCTGTAATACCAGTGTTTGGAAGGCTAAAGTGGGATTGCCATAAGTTTGAGGCTAGCCTGGGCAGTTGATAAGTTTTACATAGTAAGTACATCTCAGTTTAAACTATTTTAAAATTTATGTTCAGTATATCCTTTATTTTTAAACTTTTATTAAAATATATCTTAGGGGCTGGAGAGATGTCTTAGAAATTAAAAGCATTTACTGCTTATTGAAAAGACCCAAGTTCAATTCTCTGCACCCACACCAGGCATGTTACAACTACCTGTAACTTTGCGTTTGGGAATCCAGTGTACCCTCTGCTGGTCTCTGTGGGTGCCCACATCTAATTCACCTACATGTGAATAAAATGAAATCTTTTTTATATGTATATAAAATATATGTAGAAATTTTCCCATCTTATAGAGACTTTGATCATAATTGCAGCAGCTGGGGTATAGCTCAGTGATAAAGTGCTTGTTTAATGTACACAAGGCTATGGATTTATTCCCTAGCACTTCAAAAACACAACAAAATATAGGAAATTTCTTAAGTAAAATAAGAAATGTGTTGTGTATTCTCAGGATGCAGGTTCTTTTTCTTGGCACTAGGGATTGAATCTAGTACTTTGTACACACTGGTCATGTTCTCAGCCAAAGACTGTCACTAGAGGAAAATGGAGAAAATGATTCCTGTTGCATCATCTTTTCTCAGGCTGAAGTCGGCTCGAGATGTTGTATCCAGGACTGGTCATTCACTGGCCCTTGGCTGCTTGCATCGTTATGTTGGTGGCATAGGATCAGGACAACACCTAAAGACCAGTGTCAGCATTTTATTGGCTCTAGCTCAAGATGGAACATCCCCTGAAGTTCAGGTACACAGTATTGAAGTATTTTTCTACAGTTGCTTTTGAGACAAGGTCTCCCTGCTCTGCCCAAACTGACCCCAAACTTGCTATTCACCTGCCTCAGCCTCCTGAATGCTAGGATCACAAACATGTGCCCGACACAAAAATTTTAAACACTATCTATGCCTGATAAGTTGTTAGGAAAATGTATAATGCTTTTTCCTTGTTATTTCAGGAATTTATTTAGACCATTAGCAAGAGTTTTGTTTTCAACATAATCTTCGAAGTCTGCCTTTTCCTGGGAGTTAAACCTATTGTTGTGTGTGTGTGGTGTGTGTGTGTGTGTGCGTGTGTGTGTTTGTGTGCGTGTCTGAGGACTCAAAGCTAACTTCTGTAAATGAGAAAATGAGAGAAAACATGGCATTTGTCTTTCTGGGTCTGCAGTAGCACTTAGAATGTCTGTTTCCAGCACCATGCATATACCTGCAATTTTCATAGTTCACGTATTTACTGTCAAGCATATTATATTGTTTATTTTTTACTTTTTGCATTTCCTTTCATTATTAGGTTGGTTGATATCTAATTAGCCTCTTTCCCCCCTTACTTCTGCTTTTACCACTAGGGTCATTGAATCACACTTAGTCTTTGAGCATTTTTTTAACCTTTGTTTTTTCTCAAACATCTTATGATTGAGCAAATATAGTTGCAATGAAACTTTAAGAGTATACACATGTGTGAGTTCACACATATAAGAGTATACACATGTGAGAGTACACA